AGCCTGTGCGTCCGGGGCAATGGCGGGTACCTCCTCGGTTTGCGCGTCCGCAGGGGCCCCACCAGAACCCACCGAAGGATTCTGAGTCCCCGTCCCGCTCCTGTCGCGGACGAGGGGAGCGCCGGAGCCCGGTACCGATATGGGGGCTACCCCGGTCGGGTTTACCGCCGCCGGCTCTACCACAGGCGCCACGTGAAGCGGCACCATTTGTGTCGGCTCCGCAGCGGGTTCCCCTTCAACCCTGCGCGGGGATACCGCGGGCGTGGGTACGTCTACCGCGGGCGGTGTCGAGGGACCGACCGGAGGATTCTCTGTGGTCCCGGCTTCGGGGTCAATCGCGACGACCTCGCCCGGCGGTGGCGACACCGGGATTGCTGTCACCGGCAGGGAGTCGGTTGACGCCTCGACGGGGCGTCCGGCGGAGGAAACCGCCGCGCCCCACCCGTCGCCCGAGGCGACGACCGCCCCGTACGACGGTGTACCGGTGTCCGGTAACGGGTCATACCACTGGTCGGCTTCTGTGGACACACCGTCCCAGTGCGGCATCCGCAGGGAACATCCGCGGGCCCAACTGTACCAGACGAAGTCGCCGCGTTCGGAGAGGGACCAGTCCAACCGTTCGGAGAAATCGAGCAGAGCCTCGGCCCCAACCAGGTCGAAGGTAGTGCCCTCGAGGATGGCCGCCACCCCGACCGACCGGATGAGCTGCAAGAGCCCCGGGGACAGTCGGAAGAGTGAGCCCCGTTCTCCAGGCTCGTTTGAGCTCCGGCTCGCCAAGCGGGGATCCGGGCACTTGGTGAAGAACGGGAGGCCGTCCCGCGCGGCGTGCAGAAAGCACAGTAGCGCCAACACCGCCCACTCGGACAATAAGATCGCGTCGATCAACCGTCGCGTCTGAGGTGTCGAGCCTCTCCCGAGCGAACCGGGAGGCATCCAGCGCGCGGCAACGTACGCCAGCGCGCTGGGGGTGGGAACGCAGAGGTACTGCGGGGCCTCGAGAGTGTGCCAGTCCATCGGTAAAGCGGGGTACAGTCGCCCCCGGGACGCCGGGGGCACCGAGAAAAACTCCGTCAGGTGCCACATGTGGAAGTAGTCGTCTCCACGGCGCCACCGCAGGCGGCTCTCCTTGGCGGAGTTCTCCCCCCACCGAACACGGTCGGCGATGCTATACCATCGGTCGAAGGGCCGGGGGAAGGCCACTAGCTGCACATGAGGTGCGGGGTCCACCTCCCCGCCGAATCTCCCGAGGAGGTTCAGCAGCCGCGAATGGTACTCATCCTCACCCGCACAGCGGACATAGAGGAGATCCGAGCCGGATACAGTCACCGACCGGTGGGGGGCGTGGAGACAGCGCGTCCTCCAAGCTGCCGAGCGGGTCTCTTGTCGGATACGACCGCGAGGGGAGGGCGTACGAATGCCCCGCCGCCTCGGTATCGCCTCGAATCTTGCCGCGTCCGGATAATCCGCATTGACGTAGGCTTCGACGGAGATTGGCGGTTGACCCCGTGAGGGGTTCCGCCCACCTCGAGCCGTGCGATGGTCCATGTCGGCCCCGGGGAGCAGGCCTCGGACCGCACGAACACCGTTACGGAGCCATCCGGAGGGCAGAGTGGCCGCCGCCGGGTACGTCCCTGCATAGGGGTCGGGGCGTGTCGGATGTGGATCTTCATCGACTACCGAGGGTCCCCCGGCTCCGACCCGGTCCGGCAACTGCGTCACCGCGGTTGCACCGCCAACGCGGGGAACCGGGATGGATCTCAGCGGGACTGGTAGCGGCCCGCGTTCCGCAGGCGTGGAAGCGGCAGCGGGCAGATCACCGGCACTCCGCTGCCGCACTGAATGAAAAGCGACCGTTGGCGCGGGCGTCGCTAAGGGGGAGCCCTCAGAGGAGGGCTGCCCCCTGTCCGTTCGGTGGTTCTCCATCCGTGGGGAAGGAAGTAAATCGGGAGATGAGGTGTGAGGGAGAGTATGGCTGGTGGTAGTCGTGGGGAGAAGCGTTGGGTGAGTTGTGGGAAATGATGAAAGCGTGAGGGGATCCGCCACCGCATGGGAAGAATCACCGCGGTTAAATACCAAAAACTCCACAGGCTCCCCTGTGGAGGTGGCTGCCACGCGACCGCGCGCCCGCGGTCGGCGCGGGTTTTTCCGTACGGTGAGAGCTCTCTGCAAGCCGGTCATGGCACAACTCGGCCGCGACGAGGACGTGTCGCGAAATAAGGAAGGGGGTCTGTAGTACAATTGCGTACCACGACCATCCCGGGGAGATGTGAACCGGACGGAAGAGCGGGTACTACTGTAGCGACCGGGCTTGCACGCGCCCGTAGCGGAGTACAGTAGTACCCCGCGGGTCACACGTGCTACAACCGCTGGCGTGGCCACGGGCACACGTGTGTAATCCGTACGGTTATAAGTAGTAATTAGTAGTTAATGGCACGAATTTATTAATTGTGTACAGTAGCTGGTATACAGTAAGTAGCAGCTACTGTAGCGGGACAGGTGTCCTGGCGTCCCACTTAGGGGTTAAGACCGGGGGCACCTGCCCCGTCCCAGTAAAGGGGAGGCAGACTCGCCTCCCTTCCCTTTACGGCTTTTTGCTAACTCCGTCCGGTTTTACCTCTAAGTCTCAGGCTTCTAACCCGTGACCGGCCGTCCGGATCTGACACCACCGACCGGCTGCGCGTCACCGGCCACGTGAGCCTTCCCTCTTTTCGAGTCCTTCCGTACGGTTCGCGCTCGCGTGGGTTACCCAGCGTCGCGCGCTCCCTTACCTCTAACCCCCCTCGTTCCGAGTGGTCGGGACGAAGGTAGTTATACCACAAGCACGTCCTTCGAAAGGCTGGTCACGAGTTTTATCCGCATGGTCACCCCCTTTGCGTATAAAACGTACGTCGAACGCGCTGCAGATAAGTTCACAATGTCACGAATTTTTGAGGATCAGTCACACTTTCGTGTATACGGCATGGCGAGGTATTCCACAGACGTGACGTTTCACCAAAGCAACCGTCCACGCGGAAATCACGAGGAAGCCAAAGGTCATTTTAGTGGAAAACACAAAATGTACGGGTATAAGACCGAGGTGAGTGTGTTGCCAAATGGTCTAGCCATTGGGGCAAGTAGACATTTTATGGGATCAGTCGCCGATGTCGATATATTTTATGATAACCTCGAGTGGCACAAGTTGGAACTCCGCAAAGCTCAGACAGAGCGCAGTGTGACTGATGTTGGACCTCTAGTCCAGCGGTTTCCCAGATATTGGGCTGTCCTGATGGACAAGGGCTATCAGGGGGCTGCTCGGGAGGTACGCGCTATCATTCCTGTCAAGAAGCCAAGGGGTCGAGAGTTGACAACGGAAGAGGTCCATGGTAACCGAGAAATTTCGTCCGACCGCATTATTGTCGAAAACTATTTTGGTCGACAGTGCACACTTTGGGTTCTAATGGCGAACAAGTGGAGGTGGGCTGAGTCTAACTACAACATGTTTTTTCAATTCACATTGGCCTTGACGAACGCGCATGTGCTTCATCACCCGCTTAGAGAAGAAGATGGTGCGAGGCGGAGGCAAATTTTAAACAGGCGTTTTCACATAATGCAAAGTACAGCTGTGAAACGGCGCCCTGTTCAGGAGCGCTACCGGGTTCGCAGGCGTGCGCGTATCGAGCAAAGGTTGCCCAGCAGGTCATATGCACAAGGGGCAGGTGCTATGTCTGATGAGGAAGAGCTGTAACTTCACTTTTGTCGCATATCTGAGGAACTGAAAGGATTTCTGTAGTGAAGGCCGAGTTCGGCAGTTTGTAGTGATTTACGAGGTTATGCTGTATATGCGATATCATTTAAAGCAAATGCAATTGAAAACGTCATTTCGTAGACATTCTGTTTTCCACTGCCCACATCATATCTGATGTGGTGGACCGTGACTGCTCTCAAGACCTTCTGGGGAGTGCGGATGTTCCCACCCGTCTTCATTTTTTTGAACCACAAGTGGTTACTAGATTCATATTTTAGGAGTACTTACCGTGAACCAATGAAATAGGAGGAAGCCAGCAGTGTGTACGTACAGTAAATTGCAATGGTGGGATTGCTGTATTGTTGTAGCTGATGTCAGCTAAGCAGAGGAGCTGTTGATGTCAACACCAACAGCTCCTCTGTGTGATGACCACTGAGCAAAAGGGGAGGTGCCGTCGGCCAACGACATGAGGGAGGAATGACTGAGAGTCATATGAAGGAATCACCACACTCTGAAACTGCGCTTGCGCCGCTCAAAGGGCCCATGCCTTGTATTTTGACCAGTGATTTACGGAACACACTCGGCCAACACTTGTTCGCCCCTTCCACTCCAGTGGAGCGATATTGACCTTAACATTTTCAGCCAAAGAATGGACATCTTAAGTATCGTACTGAACGCCTACCCGCCTTTGCGCTCACGGTCGCCGGGTCGCGTGCCGTTTCGACCGACGCGAGAGTGACTTCCGACGGAAGGGTAAGTCAGCGTTGTGATGTTTGACGATTTTGTTCACAGTAGCGTCAAGGTATACGGATGGGAGATTGTTGGCGTGCTGGATTTTGTTTGTGACGATCACGAGCACCGCCTTTTTCGCAGTCGTCGTCGCGCCGAGCGCCGTGCACGCTCGGCGATGCCGCCGTCTTCCATGTGCTGCTTCCTCCGCGCGCCGCGGACGGGGAGCTTGCGCAGCATTGCGCGGCGCGTCTCTTTGCGCCCGAGCTTGCCGCGGTGCTCGTCGGAGTGCCGCCGCATGTCTTCGGGCGCCCCGCGCGATGCCGGCGGCCGGCCGCGCCATCGCCTGTTGGGCGGCAGCGTCGCCTTGCGCGAGAGCGCCGACGTGTCCGCACCCCGCTCGCCGACGCCCTCACATCCCCGACCCGCCTCAGATGTGCCATTCGTCTATCCCGTCCTCTACCCGCACCCCCGGTCAACATATCGACACCCCCGCCACCGCCTCCGCCATCATCGGCCGATGCGCTAGACCCATCCACAACAGCCCATGTCGTCAAACCAGGGAATGATGCCTATTGCGGGTGGGGTCCCGATCGAACTCAATGTCTACGATCTTCAGCACCCCGACAACCCGGACGCCGTGCCCGCCATTAACTGGTATCTCCACGGCGTCGGCTTGGGGCTTTATCATTCGGGCGTCTCCATTTACGGCACTGACTATTGCTACGGCGGACACGCCGATGACGACACAGGCGTCTTTGAAGTCGTCCCGCCGAAGGCCCCCGATGCGAAGTTTAGGCAGACAGTCTTTGTAGGGAGGACCAGTCTTGACCCGCAGCAGGTGTCAGAGCTTGTCAAGGCCATGGCCCACGTGTGGAGTGGCAACTCATGTAACGTATTAACGCGGTAAGTTCTGACTTCTTTCCGAAGCAAGCATACATTTTTATCTCCTTTCGCAGAAGCCTGACCCCTTCGTCGTCCTCCTATATAGGAGGAACAGCTGGAGCTGACTTCGTTTCGCATTGTATAGTTATTAGGGCCGCTGTGGTAGCTCGCTGGGAGGTGGCGATTATGAGCAAGTTGCTTCAGGTCGCGCGCGCCTCGGATACGGGGGAGAACACGCATTTGGCCATCAAGATCATCAAGAATAACCCGCTGTACGTGGCGCAGGCGCTGTCTGAGGTGCGCATGACCAGTTACTTGAACCGGATCGACCCTAAGGACGGCCATTCCGTCATGCGCCTGCGGGACAAGTTTATCTTTCGCGCGCACCAGTGTCTGGTGCTGGAGCTGCTTTCCTTCTAACTGTACGATCTGCTGCGGTCGACCGAGGTTTACGGTGTCACTCTCAACCTGGTGCGCAAGTTTTGCAAGCAGATCCTCAACTGCCTGCTCGGACGTGAACATTGCGCACTGCGACCTCAAGCCGGAGAACGTGCTGTTGCGACACCCGCAGCGCAGCGCGATCAAGGCGGTGGACTTTGACGCAAGCTGTCGCATCAGCCAGAGCATGTCTACGTATGTACAGTCACGTTTCTACCGCGCGCCTGAAGTGATCCTCGGGAAACTATACGGGACGCAGGTGGACGTGTGGAGCTTGGGGTGCATGCTGATCGAGCTCCACAAGGGGTACCCGCTGTTCGCGGGCAAGGACAAAGCGCATCAGATGGCGATCATTGCGGAGGGGCTGGGGATGCCGCTAGAAGAGATGTTGCTAGCAGGGCCCAAAACGAGCCTGTTATTCGAGCAGGACAGCGTAACGGGCCGATGGCGCATGCGGCCGGAGGCGTGCCCGTCCGGGGAAGCGGTGATCCCGGGTTCCAAGTCGACCGCCGGTTTCGTGGACATTGACATGGGAGCCAGCAACGGGCGGCGGAAACGCGTGAGCGGCGGGCACTTGGACGTGGACTACTCGATGTTCCTGGGACTAGTGGACAAGATGCTGCGCTACTCGGGGTAGGAGCGGATCTTCGCGTGCGACGCGCTCAAGGAGCAGTTTGTGGTTGGCGGGTGCGACGCGCTCAAGAAGCGGTTTGTGGTCGGCGGGTGCGGCGTGCGGTCGGGGCGCGAGAGCCCGCCGGGTATGCTCGCCATGGCCAAAGATGGGGCGGAAGTGGGCGCTGCGGCGGTGGTGGACCCTGGGCGCAAAGCACCCGTGCAGAAGCGGGCCAAGCGGGTCGGGATCAGTCAGGTGGTGGCGATCCACCCGGACGAGGGCATCGGCGCGGGCGGGCACGCGGACGGCGAGGACGTCGGCGGCAGGCTGCGGCTCTCCAAGAGCGAGCGCGAGTTCAAGAAGGTGCACAGCAGGCGCCGCGCCGAAGAGAAGACGTTCGTGTTCAAGACGTCCGAATGGGTCGACGAGGTAGGCATCGAGCCGCCGCCGTGGCGCGCCGGCGGTGGCGACGACGGCGCGGGTGGCGCAGAAGGCGGGCCGGAACGGGCAGCGGCGGCGGCGCGGGCCACGAGGGTGGCGCGCGCGCGGCGGGCGGGCGCGGCGGCGGCAGTGGGGCGTGGGCCGGCGGCGGGACGCGCGAGCCTCGCGCGCCCTCAAGGTGCGGGTACGCGGCCCACGATGGGCGGTCAGGGAGGCGACGGCCGAGGTAGCGGTTGGCCTCGGCAAGCTCGTCATGGGCGTGACACGCGGAGGTGCGGCGATAAGGGGCGGGCGCTGGCACGGGTCATGTCGCATATGTGGGCCTCATGTGAGGCTGTGAACAGCTGGTAAACACTTCGGACATTGTACGAATGGCATGTATGGCGAATTATTTGCACAAATTGAGCACTTCGTATGGAACTACTGGTCCTGCAGAAACAGTGTTTCTGGCCGGCATGAGTGTCTCATCTGTAAAGGGGGGGTGCCCCTTAAATGGAACACCCTTCCAATCTGCGGAACGATGAGAACCCAGGAAAAGTATTCAATAATTAAGAACAACAGCCCAAGTGGCCACCAAACGCAATCAAAGTCAGGTTTTACAGTCCCATTTCCCCGCGACGTAAATGCATACCGGAACACCACCATCCCCAGTCCCCGCCACACCCCAAAAAAAAGCCCCATTTCGTGATGACACCGTAGAATACAGTATATCTTCCCCGCGATTCTCACTCGGCTGCGACCGTATCTGTTGGCACGGCGAGCAGAGCATCTCAAGATTTTTCGAAGCATAGCGATTTCGAAACGGAGAATACGTCGCAATTTTGTGGGGGCTCGTGCTCGATTCAACATGGCCGTCGACGCCGTGAAAGAAGGTGCTACAATGCCCAGCGCGGCGCGAATGGCTAAGCTACCTTTGTCCACATTTCATCGTCGTTACAAGAAAATTGACAACAACCCCGAAGAGTAGCCCCTGCATCATCGTCGGACCCTCACCGCTGAAGAGGAAGACACAATAATTGAACTGATTAAAACGTGCGCAAGCCATGGCTACCCGGTGGGCCACGAAACTATTAAAGATGCAGTTGAAATTCTCGTCGGTAACAAGGACCCGGAGCGTCAACAAGAACTCCCCTTCAAACACAACCGACCTGGAGACAAGTTTGTGAGGGCATTCAAAAAACGTCACCACAAACTCATCGCGTTTGCACGCGCCCTTCGGCAGGAAGTCATCCGGTTCAATGCTATCAATGCAGAAACACTGACAACGCACATTGCGGCGGTGGAGCAGCTCATTAAAAACCACAATATAGACCCTTGTCGTTTAGCAAACCTGGACGAGACTAGAGCCACCCCCGACAAAGAGGCACTGGGCATTACCTCGTTTCGAACGTTTTCCCCTAGAGAAATCAGGCACGAGATTCGCATTCCAACGTTCAAGAACGTGTCAAGAGTAACGATCGTGCCCGTCATGTTCGCATCTGGGGTAACCGGAAGACCTTTGTTTATTTTTAAAGATACAAGGATTCTGCATAGAGTGACTGAGAGTAATGAAGCACTTTCCAAGCAGTCAGTCGCAGATTGCCTTCCCCCCAACGGGTTGGTCACTACAAGAGAAGAATTAGCAGGCGTACATAAATCTAATTTCGCGCGGTGGGCAGAGATGTTCGTGCAAGACATTACTCACCTTACCAGGCAAGGACGAAATTTTTTGCTCTTGTATGACGGTTACCGCAGCCACATGAGCCTTAAAGCTTTGACGATTTTACGAAATGGGAATGTGGTTGCCTACTCTCTACCTTAACACACGAGTGGGAAGACACAGCCACTAGGTCTGACATTTTTGCTTCATTCAAGCATAATATTGCCGCCTGCATCAAGCAGATATCTCTCGTCCAACAAACAGAGCCCTATGATGCATTCGATTTTTGCAATATCCTGCGCCACGCTTACGAAAAGTCTTTCACGCCCGCAAATATTACTGCTGGGTTTGAGAGAGCTGGGTTGTGGCCCATCAATCCTGCTAAACTACTGTACTCCCCAAAACCGGATGGACGCTGCAAAGAGAAAATGCTTTTTGTAGACGAAATGCTACATTTACTAGAACAAAAGCGTATTGCCTGCCGGGACGATATCTGTATACAACCAGTGGTGTTGAAGAGAGAGTTTTTGGACACCTCAAAAGGTCTGACGTTGACAAGTGACGCCACCATGCGAATGATTGAGGGAGAGGAGCGCGCGAAGCGCGTTAAGTTTGAGGATACGCAGCGGAAGAAGGCAGAAGCGAACGCGAAGAGAGCGTTTGAAGCGGCTATGCGAAAGCAAGCTCGGCATGATGCCGAACTTTCGAACGTACGCCGTCGCGCCACACTTTACGGCGAACCGTTTGTCGTGCCTCGACCTTTGCGCATACGTCGTGCTCTTGCTGCGAAGAAAGCAGCTGATAGAAGGGATGCTGCTTCTGCGCTTGCGTCCCTGAGGTGCAACTGACCAGCGGCATGGTCAGCTACAGAATCGTGCTCTGATAGATATTTGAAGTAAATTTTTTGTGCATTGCTGTTTCTAAATTTGTTCCACATCACGACCGATTTGCCTCATTCTTGAGGCTGTAATTAAAAGGAAATCCAGGGGATATGGAGAATGTGTGAGGATGTCTCCTCTCCTGATCGGGTCGACAGCGACCCGGTCACTCCACTTTATGTCAACCAGAGCAAGGCTCTGGTGCGCGCCGCTCCGCTGCGCCGTCGTCGGTAGGATAGTGATTAATCATTATTTCTACAATGGTACTGCAGTGCAATACGCACCTGGAAAGGGGGGTGAAAAGAAAGGAAAACATTTGGATATGAAAAGTAGTCCGGGTTTGGGGGACACACGTGTGAATAATTGCACAGTTTTAATTTTTAATTATTTTATTTTATTTAGTTAATTAGTTGGCATTAATTTTGCTGACACTAGAATAGATCTAGAATCTAGAGCCGGGAGCTACTGTACTCGCCCCGGCGGGGCTCTCTGTAACTTAGCCCTTTGACCGAACAAGTCAATAAACCAACCCGAGTTGCCGGAGTTGAATGTCGCCTTGGTCGAAGTCCGTCTCTACCAAGACGCTCCCTTTTACCTAAGCCTACGGCATCCTCTATCGCTCTGGGTTCCCTTTTCTCTTTCCTTTATTTCCCTATCCTTTTCTATCTCTAATTCTACCTATTTTTCCCTTATCTTGTGTTGGTGCCATCGGCCTCGGTTGCGACCGAACCGGTGTAGGTGTTTCGAGCCATCGGGCGACACAGTTGACGTAGCGCTGCTACTTTCATTTCATCCCGTCGGGCTGCGTTGCGACGCCCCCGTCGAAGGCCTTGTCGCGTTACAAGGTGTCGAAGAAGCTCAACGAGCATTGGCCTTACAACCC